TGGACAACTACTTGGAAGATAGCAATACGCAGTACAACAAATATTGGAAAACTCATATTATTCTGTTAAGTGAAATTCTGTAATACTTGTAATTTTTCTGTTTTAATACTATTTTGTACTGTCTTTAAAAAATAATGCAATGCAAAAAAAATTTCTATTCTTGAGTATATCTCTACTTCTAAACTGATGGATTTACTGCAGGAATTCTATGAAACAACACTGGAAGTTTGAAAAATGCTAAGAATGATAGGCTGTAGTTTAAGACAAACACAATGCTTAGAAAATGATATTTAGGGCTGGGGAGATGGCTCTGTAGGATAAGTGCTTGACTGGCAAACGCAAGCTGGCAAACTCAAGGATCTGAGTTCAATCCCCGCTTCTGCAAAAAAAAAAAAAAAAAAAAAAGGAAAATGATATTTAGAATGAGAAGAATATAGAAAGCTTCAAAAACTATTATGCAGGTTATATCAGTCCTGCCAGACTGATGATGGAGAAGATGACCTGAAAAAAGGCACACAGTTATTAGAAATACATGCTGTGGAAATTCAAAAGTACACCGTGCAGGAAAAATAACAAAAAACCTGAAAGCACTGTACAGTCGCTTTGCACCAAGTCTGGCAACCCTCACCCGCTGATCATGGGCATCATCAGAGAATGTGGTGGTAAGAGGCACTTGAGAGAAGGTGAATTTGAAAAGGCAAATACAGATTTTTTTGAAGACTTCAAGAATTATGATGAGGGGGCCTGGCCCTAGCTCAGGCCTTTAAGTGGCTGCTTCCACAAAGCTGTCAGCCTCAGGTTGCTGGAGTTCGAACCTCACACCTCTCCCGCTGGCCAAAAGTGCCCTGAAGGCATTTGAGCAACAAAAAAAAAAAAAAGAATTATGATGAATCAGGAAGGTCCAAGATGAACTACTTGTTCAAAGTACTTGGTCTTAGCAAACATGCTAATTAAGTCAGGGATAAATCCACTTGACTCACAGGAGGCTAAGCCATACAAAAATGATCCAGAAATTCTAGCAATGACAAATTTAGTAAGTACCTATCAAAATAATCACATCACTGAACTTGAAAAGATTCTGAAAACAAATCACAGCAACATTATGGATGATCTTTTCATAAGCGAACACATCAAAGAGCTTTTTTAAGGTTGTTCGTTTGTTTTTTTTTTTGTGTGGGGTCTCACTACATAGCTCGGACTCGTAGTGATCCTTCTGATTTCTGCCTCCCTAGTGCTGGGATTGGATTACAGGCATGCGCCACCATGCCTGGACTAAAAATGTGTTAGGGACCAAAGACATTTTGTGTGTGTGTGTGTGTGTGTGTGTGTGTGTGTAGGGTTTCACTATGCAGCTTGGACTCATAGTAATCCTCCTGATTTCTGCCTCCCTGGTGCTGGGATTACAGGCATGCACCACCACACCCGGACTCTCGAAGAGCTTTTATGAAACATCAGAACACACGTGCTTATAAAGTTAATTAAGCCTTACACAAGAATACATATTCCTTTTATTTCTAAGGAGTTAAACATAGATGTAGCTGATGCAGAAAGTTTGCTGGTGCAGTGCATATTGGATAACACCCTCCATAGCCAAATTGATCAAGTCAACCAGCTCCTTGAACTGGATCATCAGAAGAGGGGTGGTGCCCGTTACACTGCACTAAATAAATGGACCAACCAACTAAACTCTCTCAGCCAGGCTGTGGTCAGCAAGCTGGCCTAATGGAGAGCAAGCACACACAGACCTGCTGAGTGCGGAGTTGTAATACTTAAGAGAACTGGGAATGGCAAAACTACAGTCGACTGATGTGTCCTGAACGTTACTGGAGTTGTGGCAGAAGTGCTTTTTGATCATCTGGATTGTGTCTTGCTGCTGCATTTATCCCAAGAAAAGCAGCTTTATTCTCCAGAAGAAAACCAAAATACCACGGGATTTATGCTATACTGACATCTTGCCCTAAATGTACAACATCATAGTAATTTGTCATGGACAACATGATCAGAGAGAAGATTTTGTCATGATTTTAAATGCACTGACAAAAAAAAAAAAAAAAAAAAAAAAAAAAAAAAAAAAAAAATTTTTTAATAATTTTAAAAAAACAAAAAAAAAAAAAAAAAAAAAAAAAAAAAAAAAACACTGACACACTACTGTTGGTTAAATTTAAACATGTTTTACCTGCAGAAATTCTCTCAAAAACAACCTGCAATAACTTGAAAAGCATACCCTTTTGAACTCTTCCTGTTCTCATGTATAAATGAAAATGTTTGCTGCATTTTGCAAAACGTCAGTTCTCCAGAAACATGTCCATATATTTCTGTACCTGCAGTGTGGTAAAGGTTTAGATGAAACCCTGTACTATCATGGCATACTGTCACTTAGGTTTCAAGCAGCAAAATAAACAGTGCATCTCAGAAATTGTAAAAAAAAAAAAAAAGTCAACAACTGGGATCTCATCTTATTAAAAAGCTTTTGCACAACAAGAAAAATCACCAACAGAGTGAAGAGACAACCCATACACTAGGAAAATATTTTGCCAACTGTTCCTCAAAGAATTACTATCAAGAACATATAAAGAACTCAAAAAAATCAGGTCCCCCAAATTTAAACACTAAAAAAAAAAAAAAATCCAAAATGAACATCTGGCTGGTGAGATGGCTCAGTGGTCTAAAGCACCTACTTAGAACAGGCTTGGCAAAGCACAGGGACCACGGTTCAATCCCCCAGCACCACATGCCA